CACACACACACACCACCACCACCACCACCACCACCACCATCGTCTTTTCTGTCTACCTCCACTTCCTTCCCTCAGCCATCTCCGCCCTCCCCCAGCAGGCTAGCAGCGGTTCCAGCGGTTCCATTAGGAAAGAGCCTTCTGGCTGGGCTTGGGGAGGAGAAGAAAGTTGAGCAGGGAGGAGAGCCACGATTCTGAAATGAAGCAGTGTTTTCCATCAAAAACAGTCTGTTTTTGGAAAGAGCAGCTGAGCAGTGAGTTATGGAGCACAGTGTTGTGAGGCTCTCAGCCGGTTCTCTGGCTGAGGACAGTCACCTCATCGATGGCAGCTGGGTGGGAACAGCCCACTTGGAAATCCAAATATAGAGTGGCAGGGCTTATTAAATGTCTGCTGTTTTAATGATGGTGGAGTGAGAGCCTGCGAAGGATGGTGTTTTTCAGGCTTTTGGAAGGAGCTATTTGGAACGTTGGATAGTAAAGGGTTTGGAGTCTAGGCTGGGGTCTTCTGGAAGGCATGGGGACACTGTAGGTCTGAGCAACTCAAATGTTTTAAAAATAAAATTTACTATTTAAAAAAAAACTGCTAATAAGTAAAAACAGCACAACCAAAATTAACCAGTCCCAAAGTCTTAACAACTCTTGATGGTCATTTTTGAGACTGGCTTAAATTTTTCTCTTTTCCTGAATCCAACAGCTTCTAAGCATGAAGTCCCCAGGAAAACCCATAGGGATTATGGAGTTTTGCTTTAGAGGCAGAGATTTAGACACCCATGATACGCCTTGCTATCTAAGTGCTGTCTCCTGCTTTGTGGGGATCTTCCATCATGAGCAGCTGGCTGCTGAGATAACAGGAGCTATTGCAGACTGGGCACTGTGCTTGGGAGTATGCTCCCTGTCATAGAAGGGGCAGAGAGCCCCAAGCCAGACACCTGGGACTCTACACTCCCCAGCACCTCAGTCTCTACTAGGCTGCACATATGTCCATCTCATAGGGGACCAGAAGTCCTGATCCATTAGGGCCACTCTCCAAGGCCCTTGCTTGGGATCCCAGGTCCCCTTGCCCCAGGTAGCCACTTGCTTTTGAATGGATGACTCCAGGAGTTGATGGGCAAGAGCAGTGGTTCTAGAGTTGGATGGAGCTCCTCTGCCATTAGTCCTGTGACCAGGCAGGTCACCCTGTGTCCCTGATTTCAATTTCTTATTGTGGTCACATAATGCTCACTAAGTTTTTGCTGTATGAATTTCTGTCTCTTGGAAGTAAGACTTAGAATTATATAACATAATGAGAAACACCAACTCAATGCCTAGCACATGGTCAGGGTTCCATAATTACTACCTATCACATAATAACATAAGTGAATACAATTTTCACTTGTATAATAATACCTGATAGAGACACATATATAATGCTACTACATATAAATACTATTCTATATGCTTTGTGAATATTAGTTTATTCCATTCTGCAACCCTATGAAGTATAAACTGTCATCATCCCAGTAAATTGAGGTGTTCACCAATTTGTCCAAGGCCTCTTGGCCGGTCAACAGCACAGCAATTCTAATGACGCAACCAGGTCCAGATCATCCCTCTCATACCCAGCAATGAAGTTTTGGAGGGCCACGAGATGACTTGGATGGAGTGAAAGCCCAGGTGAGGTGTCAGTCCGTGCCAGATGTTCCAGGAACTTACACGTGCATTGGGCAGACAGCACAAAACACAGCTTATATGCCAGGGCACAGTTTTGAAAACTCCCTCTGTGATTCCAAACCTGCCGCTGAATGTGGGAAGCTGTGCCACAAATGGTGTTTCTCAAGCTTGGAGGATTCTCCAGTCATCCGAGGATCCTGTTAAAATGCAGGTGTTGATGCAGCGAGCCTGGCTGAGGGCCTGAACTTTTTTCCATCTCTCTACATTTCTTTGTATTGTGATGTAGTTCATTTATCACAAGATTTACCCTTTTGAAGTATAATTCAAGAACTTTTTTAGCCTACTAGTAAGGATGTACAAGCATCGTGGTCCCCACTTATCATCTAAGGATAGGTCCTAAGTCTCCTAATGGTTGGCTTATTTATTCTGTGTCTTTCCTTTATATAAATACCTATGAAAAGGTTACATTTATAAATATAAATATAGATGATACATAGTAATGTATCAACAAGGATAACAGAACACTTAATAACAATATGCTTTACTAGAGGTTTGAGAGTTTACTTCATAGTAAAGAGCACTTATTAATGTTGCAGAGGACCCGGGTTCAGTTTCTAGAACTCATGTGACAGCTCACAGCTGTCTGTAACTCCGGTTTCATCATCCTCTGATGTCCTCTGCTGGCCTCTCTGGACACCAGCACATGAGTGGTTCAGGCAAAACACTCATGCACATTAAAAGAAAGTAAATCCCAATAGACTGTAGTAAATTCGTGTGGCTGTAGTGAGTCTCACTCCCTCAAAATGACACAGCGGCCATGCCACAAGAAGTAAGATGTGGTGCTGTGCATACACTGTGACACATTGTCAGGTGACTGTGACACATTGTCAGGTGACTGTGACACATTGTTTGGTGACTACGTATGACTCACTTGAACGCAGCCCTTTGACAGACACTTCAGTAGTCAATCTGAAAACCAAGACTGACGCTCAGTGACTAGTGGATGGGTAGGTGGTGTGGCCAGCATGGGTGTGCTGGACAGAGATGACTGACACCCAGTGGTGTAGAGTAAGTCTGTAAGATTGCGTCACAGAATGCACCTAGAAACTTCCAAACCGTCTGATTCTAGAACTCTCCATTTTACACCACAGTTGATGGCAGGTAAGTGAAACTGTGTAAAGTAGGGCCATTTTAATTTCAGGCTCTCTGCATCACTCCCACAAGAAATCTCTCCATTTACCTTCCTCTTCGCCCATGAAAACGGACTTGTGTGTCGAATGCAGTGATATATCCCATGTGGTGTTACACACCGGGGGGGGGGGGGGGAGGGGGGGGTGGGTGGGTGGGTGGGGGAGTGTCTAAGGCAGCAGCGTCTTGAGTTGGAGGCCAGTCTGGGTCACATTGGGAGTGCTGGGGCAGCATGGACTCCGTAACGAAACCCTAGCTCAAAACCAAGCGAAACCGAAGAACCACAAAACACAAATGGAATAATTCAATGTCTGTCTTCTTGTGTGTCTGGGTTCTGTCACTAACGGTAGTGCTTCCAAGGTCATTCACACTGTAGTGTAAATCAATCAGTGCTTGTTCCTTTTGGATACATCGGATGGGAATACATTGAAATGGATTTAAATAGTTTTAGATTATTTATATATGTGTGGGTATCTGTGTATGAGCTGAGTGCCCTCAGAGTCTGAGAATGCTGGATCCCTGGAAACTAGAATGACAGATGTTTGGGAATGGCCTGATATGGGGCCGCTAATGGAACTCTCTGAGAGCAGTGGATGCTCTTAACCGCTGAGCCACGCCCAGCCTTGGAAACACTGCACGGTTTAGTCATCCTCAATTGACAGGCATGAGGTTGCTGACACCTTTGGGCTCTTATGCACAATGTGTACAAGTTTGATATTATGAATATCTGTGCATGAATTCTTGACCGAACATACTTCTTTAAATTTTTTTTTTTTTTAGATTTTTCTTTAAACTTTTTGTATATGAGTGTTTTACCTGCGTGCATATGTATGTGCACCACATGTGTGCCTGGTACTTTTTGAAATCAGAATAGGGTGCTAAATCCCCTGGAACGTGAGAGTCACCATCTGGTTGCTGGGAACTGAATCCAAGTCCTCTGTAAGAGCAACGAGTGCTCTTAAGTGCTGAGCCAACTCCCCAGGCCCCAGGCACGTTGTCTGATTCTCTCTTATTTTATGAAAACATATTTTTATTGTATGTATATGTGTGCATATGATGTGTATGGGTGAGTTCAGGTATGCAGGCATGTGTGTGCTATAGCCCATGTGTGGCAGTCAGCAATGTTGTAGGGTTGACCCCCTCCTTCCAGCTCAGGGGATTGAACGCAGGTCACCAGGCTTACGCAGTAATCGCCTTTACCGGCTGAGGTACGGTGTTGGCTTTTTCATGCTTTTATTGTTGTTTCTTTTCTTTCTCTTTTTTTCTTTCTTTTTTGAGACTGGGTCTCATGTAGCCCAGGCTGTCTTCAAACTCACTACCTGCTATATAGCTTGGGCTGAACTTGAACTCCTGATCCTCTTGTTTTCGCCTCCCACGTTCTGAGATTAAGGGGTGTACCACTGCACCTGAAGAAGTGGACTTGTTCAACTCTTTTGGACATACACCTAAATGTAGTATTGCTGCATTATATGACAATGCTGCACGTTCTGTCTGTCTGTCTGTCTGTCTGTCTCTCCCCCCCCCCTTCTCTCTCCCTTCTGACCCTTCCTTCTCCGTCTCTCCCTTTCCCCCTTGGAATTTCTCCCTCCTTTTCCCCCTTTCCTCTCCCTCCCTCTCTCCCTCCCTCCCTCCCCCTCTTCTTTTCTTCCCCCTCCCTTCCATCTTCCATTCTCCTTTAGGTGGGGCCTCACGATATTTGCTAGGTTGGTTTGATATTGAGCTCAGGGGATCCTCCTGCCTCAGCTTCTCACATCACTGGGACTGCAAGCCCTACCAGCAGAATCACTGTTCCTGGCTTAAAAAAATAAATAAATTAAACAACAACAATTTTTTTTTGTAGTATTGGGGACCATACCTAGGGCAGTGAGACAAGGTTTCCGCCACTCAGCCCTTTCTTAACCATCTCCTTGGAAGCGCAAACTTGCAATCTAGTTGGTGTCCAGTCTGTTTTCCTCTGGGCTTCTTGCACATTTGGTTTTCTGCGTTAGAAATCACTCCCTTATCCAGAGCCACAGAGACTTTTCATCTCTAAAGTCCCAGGTGCTGCTGGTTTGAGAACCAGTTTGTGCAGCGAGGAGCTTGAGCCAAGATTCCCCTCTCAGTGCCTGCTGGAAAAGGAACAGCTGCCTTCCTGGCTGTACTGTGTTCAGCTCTCTCTCAGAGTCAGCCAGTTCCAGCTGGAGTTGTCCTTGGTCCGTCAGGCTCTACCACAGCTCCGGGTGTGCCCGGTTGCTTTTCCTTTGGTGGCTTCATCATCATCATTATCATCATCATCTTCATGATCTTCTTCCTCCTCCTCCTTTTCCTCTTCTTTTAATAGAAGTTCTGAATTTAGAGTTTGAATTAGTTCAAACTTCAGGTTATTAATTGTGTTCAAAATAGTGAAGTTGGCTATTTAAACTGTAGTGTGAATGAGGGAGACTTTGGCTCAGGTGACAGGGCTTGCCTTGTGAGAGCCTTTGAGACAGAAGTGGCAGGCATACCAAGGATTCACAGACAAGGTGTGACGCTGCATACCTGTGATCTCAGCACTAGGAAGGCGGAGGCAGGAGGATTGCTGTAAGTTCTAGGCCAGTTTGGGTTAACTAGTGATTTCTAGGCCAGCATGAACTGTAGAGTGAGACCCTGCCTCTGAAAGTTAACCAACCAAAACCCAAAACAAAATACAAACCTGTTATTCTCCCCGAGAAGCTCTCGTTCCTGAGTATAGTGTGCTCCCAAATGTCCCAGCAGCAGGACACATGGTTTGACCTCCTCTGTTTATTTTATTTGTTTTCTTTTTTCCTTAAGTTGGTTTGATCCAGAGCTCCAAAAACAAGCCCGGATTGTTGATGTCGCCATCTTTGGATGGTGGTCCTCCTTCTGGCCTCCTGTCTTTCACGGGAGTTTGGAAGGGGAGCCCCCACCTTCCACCTTCTGCCCAGATGCCAGAGATCTGTCCCCAAGGAACCCTCTCTTGGCTAGAGTTCTGCCAGCCAGCCAGAAAAACACCAACTGTGGACTGTCAGGAAGGGAAGTTGGGTGTTATTGCCAGGTTTTTTTTTTTTTTTTTTTTTTTTTTTTGCAAAGTCAGAGTGACTTTTCCTTCAAGGCCTTTAGGAGGGAGGTATCACAGTAGGCACGACACATAAGCCCTTCCAGGGCAGGCCAGTAACCCAACCCCTAACATGGCCCTTGCCCCTCTGTCAACAGTATCTCCTCTCAACAGTCCCAAGCTGCTTCTCCCTGGAGCACGAAGTCTTTCTCAGTGTGGTCAGGACATGAAGATGGGGTTCATGGGCTTGTCAGTTCCCTCTACAATGCTCATCGAATCCTTACTATGTGTTGGGCCCTGTGCTTGTCTTCAGAATTCTGTACCCAGAAAACTGTTTCAAAACCAAAGGTGGAGTATGCATTTTTGAAGGGTTGTAAAAACTAAAGGAAGTCAGCTGGTGGCTAGATTTCATAGTTCTAGAAGGTGCTGTACAGGTGGCTGATACAGAAAAGACACCAAGGGTCTTATCAGTGATGGACACTGCAGGCGACAACACTGACCTGCAGCGCTAACAGTGTAACAGTGGCAAGGCTGTTATGGGGGTAACCAATTGCTCTCTTGATTGGATTTGAGACCCATTCCACAGAAAGGAATTCATGCTTGGTACTGTGAACACGGCCAAAACTCACGGCTAGCCCATTGATGTTGTTTTGCTAAATGTTCACGTTGTCAAACGGCCTTCTGAATGTTTATGTTTATATCCATATGTTTGTGCTCCTCTCAACCTTGGTCAGAAAAGCTTCCTATTGCAGTAGATAGTGGTTAATGCAGACTCAGAACTGTTCAAAATGCTGAGAACTGACTGTGAGTGCTCAGCTGTAGATGGAACATCTGTATTGAGACCTCACCACCTGTAAGAGGACATTGCAGAGTGCAAGTGCCAGGGGATGGTATGGTGATATTGTGTTCCCCAAAATATTGTGCACCCTAATAAACTTATCTGGGGTCAGAGAACAGAACAGCCACTAGATATAGAGGCCAGAAAATGGTGGCACTCACACCTTTAATCCTATCACTTGGGAGGCAGAGATCCATCTGGATCTCTGTGAGTTCAAAGCCACACTGGAAACAGCCAGGCATGGTGACACACATCTTTAATCTTAGGAAGTGATGGCAGAAAGCAGACAGGTATATAAGGCATGAGGACCAGAAACTAGAAGCTTTTAGTGGTTAAGCTTTCAGGCTTCTAGCATCAGTTCAGCTGAGATTCACTCTGGATGAGGACACAGAGGCTTCCAGTCTGAGAAAACAGGATCAGCTGAGGAAGTGGCGAGGTGAGGTGGCTGCGGCCTGTTCTGTTTCTCTGATCTTCCAGCATTCACCCCAATACCTGGCCCTGGGTTTGTTTTTATTAATAAGACCTTCTAAGATTTGTGCTACAGGACGGGGAGGAGTGACATGAAATGCTGAACACGACATAGCTGTGGCCCATGGGAACACATAGCAACCTCGGTTACCTGCGCAAGACCAAGTCACTCAAAATTTCCAACATGGAGCAGGGAGGGGCTCCTGTGACCCCATCCCTAGCTCAGGGGCTAATGACAGTTGATGACTATTGGAAGAGAGAGAGAGAGAGAGAGAGAGAGAGAGAGAGAGAGAGAGAGAGACAGAGACAGAGAGAGACAGAGAGAGACAGAGAAATTTTTCTTTGGAGGTTGACTACTGGCAGAGTCCCATGCCCCAGTGGATGACCCCACAGCCATGTGCATTTGGGAAGCACTAATTGGCATCAGTGAGTTATAAAACAAACAAACAAAGCAAAAGCAGAGAGGACTCGAAGCTTGTGAAGAGGGTCATGGGGAATAGGAGGGAGAGGGTCAGGGGTAATATGAGTAAGATGCATGATATACATCTATGAATTTTTCAAAGAATAAGGAAGAGAGAGGGGGGGGCAATAGCTAATCTGTCCAGTGAGTATGACTCTTGTTTATTTTATTTTATTTTGAGTCAACAGTAAATCTGTCCTGTGAGGAATGGCTCTTGTTGTTTGTTTATTGTTTATTTCATTTTATTTCAGAGATAGGATCTCACACAGACAAGGAAGTCCTCAAACTCTCACGATCCTCCTTCTTGTCCTTCCACAGAGAAGACGGGAACAGATAGCAAAGATGATCATGAAGGAAGGAGGAAGGAGCTAGAAGAAGGCCCAGCAGTTAAGGCCCTTCCTGCTCTGGTGAGGACCTGGGTCGTCTCCCAGTACCCACTTGGAGACTCATAAATGTTTGTAACCAGATCTATTTCCCTCTTCTGATCGCTTTAGGCTGCTGCACACATGGGGTATGCATAGACACATCTAGGCATCCCCCACCCCAACACACATATAATTAGTTAGTTAGGAAGATAGATAGATAGATAGATAGATAGATAGATAGATAGATAGATAGATAGATAGATAGATACATACATACATACATACATACATACATACATACATAGATACATAGATATTTAAAGAGAAAGGAGGAAAGAATACTGGGAATAGCAACACATGGGAGATAGTTGAAGTTTTCTAATTTAATTAATGCATTCAGATTTTAAAGTTTTTCCCCCAAAGTTTTAACTATTTAAAAATAACAATGTAAGTCTGGTATGGTGGCTCATACCTGTAATCCTAACACTGAAGAAGATGTGGGTACATACTTAGTTCCAGGTCAGCCTTTGGTATAGTCAAGTCTAGGCAAGCCTGGGCTGCAGAGTGAGGCCCTGTTTCAAAAAATAAAAACAATGCATCATCATCATCATCATAATTAATAATAATAATGATAATGATAATAACTAACTTGGTTTGGGGATTTATGCCATGCTAGCACGTGACAGCCGTGTAGAAGATGGAAGAGGACAGATGGCACTATTCCACGGTAAGGAATAATTACATGATGTGTGAAGGGGAATGATATCTCCTGAGGCAAGCTCAAGATTTGTATTCAGGCAGGGAGATGGCTCTGTCGGGTAAAGGCCTCTGCTGCCAAGTCAGATGACCGAAGTTTAATCCCTGGGATCCTCACAGTGGAAGGAAAGGACAGATCCCCCAAAGTGGTCCTCTGATCTCCTACATTCATGCTGTGGTGTGTGCATGCCAACACACATCCATGCACACATGCACATAAAATGAATTTTAAAATGTGGTAAAAACTAAGGAAAAAGGGCCTACGCTTCCAAGTCTAATGCAATAATTACAATATCACGGAATAGTCACAGCTAGAAGTAGATGAAACCAACCCAAGAGAAGTTTCAAAAATAAAACAGCAAATAGAAAAAACATATATAATAAGATGATAGGCTAAAAAATCACCAAATTGATCATTTCACTAAGAGTAAATGTCCTAAAGTGTTTTACATTTTCTACTTAAAGGACAGGGGGAGGGGAGAAACATGATCTACCTATATGGTAATACAAAAATATACTTTGGCCGGGCAGTGGTGGTGCACACCTTTAATCCCAGCACTTAGGAGGCAAAGCCAGGCAGATCTCTGTGAGTTCGAGGCCAGCCTGGGCTACAGAGTGAGTTCCAGGACAGGCACCAAAACTACACAGAGAAACCCTGCCTCAAAAATACTTTGTATTGAAGCAGAGAGGGGTTAAAAGGAAAAAGGTAGACAAAAGTATAGCTTGCTAGCATAAGAAAAGAAAGCTGTGGTTGGTTAATAGCCAGCGCGTTTCAGAACAAAGACTATTTCTAGTGACAAAGCTGTTCATAATAAAGAATCAGTTTATTAACAAGCTATAATTCTAAGTGTTTATTAACCTACCAACGTAACTTCAAAACAAATGAAGCAGAGAGCTGGGGACATTTAAACCACCCCAGGCCTCACCTCTCTGTCTTCCCAGCCTTACTTCCCTCCCTCCCTGCCTGGCTTCCTTGATTTCTTGATGTTTCTATAAAAGGTTTTTAAACATTTATTTATGTATATGTGTGTGGAGGCACGCGCGCGCGCACACGCGCGCACACACACACACACACACACACACACACACACACACACACACACATGCTCAGGTGCCCAGTGAGAGCAGAGGAGAGCATTTGATCCCCTGGACTGGCAATGGTGATCACAGGCATTGGTGAGCCCTCAAACATGGGTCTTGAGAACTGAACTTGGGACCTCTGGAAGGATAGAAAGTTCTCTGAAAAGTTGAGCCATCTCTCCAGCACCTTGACTTTTCTTTTGCTTTCTCCGCCCTTCTTCTACTTCCTTCTACAAATGAAGGACCCCAGGCCAAGTGGTGAAATCATTGCTGAACTATGCATTGAATGAGAGTAGATCTCTACCCAGGCTTTCAGCCTTCTTTTTCTAGGATTTTTTGCACTTTGCCACAATTTACAACACTTGAACAGATGTGGCAGTGCTCTGATACTTCGATATAGAAAGAACTCTTAAGAAGAGAGGATACTCGATGCATAAACAAACAGACCGAGGCATGGAGAGCAGAAGCGTGACCTAGACACTGTGCTGCATCGGTTGACAGTTGATTGACATCAGTCAGCAAAGAGACCAAAGGAAAATAACACAGGTACTGGGGAAACCCTGGCTTGCTTTCATCAGTCCTGGCTGCCCTGGGACAGGACTTCGTTTTCTCAGGTCATCGTCCCTTCCTCACCCTGGGTGGCAAGGTTCTTCACACTCAGGCCCTCATTTGAAGTGAATATCTGAGGGCTTGCACTCAGTCAGCGGCTGTCTCTACCGCCCTCGGCTGTGTCCAGTGCCCAGGTCTGCCAAGTGGCCCGTGAATTCACACACAATCAATTACCAGCTGAGCAAGGACTCTGGGGGTCTCTGAGTACTGACCCATGCACTGGGAAGAAGGCAATCAGGCATGAAGTCATCTGGGGTCAAGCCCATGGCTTTGGGATAGTCATTTGTCACTTGGAATTGGGCAGGAAACCATAAACACAGGAGACAGTGAGTGAAGTTAACTAATTATATACAACTGTGGCCGTAGTTTGGCCTGGCCAAACAGAGCAAGGTAAGGGCAGTTTGAAGGCAAAACTGTTTAAAAGCATGGCATTTCCCAGCTGGGACATGGAACAGTCCAGGTCTCCATTCAGAGGCCGAGCACATGGCCTTGGAGAGGAGCGGAGAGTGAGTTTAAGGTTCCCTACAGTTAAACCAGTAAGAGCTGTGTTACCTACATCAAGCTGGGGTGATGACCCTGGCAGGCAGACAGAAAAGCAAAAGATCCATGTTTCTTCACCAGCTAGTAGTTCAGAGAAATGTAACCCAGATCTCCCTGGAGAGGCTGGGCAGTCAAACTGGTTGGCATAGGCATTTTTGTTGTCATTGTCAAGGGAAAAAAGAAAAGAAAAAAAAAAAGACTCCACCTTCCTCCATGAGTCAAACAGGGTGCTGAAGACTGGAGTTAAATGACTAAGGGCATTAATCTCTTGTCAAGCTCTAGAAACTGTAACTAGGGTCCAGTTAGTCATTTTTCCCTGATCATGTACACACATACATGGCTTGTATACGTAAGGTTCCCCTGGGCATTGGGAGCTGACCAAATGGTCTCCTTGCTGATGGTAAGCACTGGATGACTTTGAGAAAACTGCCTTCTTTCATTGGTTTAATTTATTCGTTTCAGGTAGCAAAATGAAGGTCATAATCCTGTTCACCGGACCAGGTCATTTCTATCTTAGGTGCAAGACCAGAGCTATCGATCTGCTTGGGATGAAGACCAATCCTCTCTCCCTAGTAGCTCCCAGACTCCTGATGGTCGAGGTGCCCCAAGCCTTCATTCTTTACTTGCAAAGCTGGGCGTCTTCACTCCACATACACAGGCCTGTTTTCTGCTGCCCTAAGCCATACACCTATCCTTCGTGGGCTAGAGAATTGAAAGTCACAACTAAATATATTTAATTAAATAAATACAGTATAATAGCACATTCGCTAGTCAGTTGCCACCTAACTCATCAATTACATCATTACAAATAAATTATATTGAATGATACATGTGGGTAGAGTATAGGGTGTCCCAAAAGGAATTCAGCCTGATCAAGGCACTAGCCTTACCTATCATTTCCAGTAGGATCTCATCCTCTGTATAACAAAGGAAAGGGCAGTTCTCAAAGTAGATGCAAACTCCAAGATGGAAGGCAGAGCGATCAGCTCTCTTGTCCCTCATTGTCCTGTTCCGTCAGCTTCAGCTGGGCTGGTTTGAAGCTTTTCTGTTGTCTATAATTTAGGCCCAACACATATCTTTGTTCATTTACAATAAGGTAAAATAAGAACATGCCGGCTAATGCCCTATTGTTTTTTCCTAAGAGGACAAAGGATATGTACGTGGAGATCTCCTCTCTGCCTCACATGGGGTGTTTACAGAAGTCACTTGCTCAAGTGTTCAGGAGAGGCTGCTGTATTAGTCAGGGCTCTACTGACAGGCCAGAGGGACAGAGATGAGAGACAGAATATGAATAATCACTCTAAAAATTGGCCCACATGATTGTGGAGGCTGAGAAGTCCATGGCCGCAGATACAGGAGAACCACCATTTAGTTTCCAGTCCAAAGCTACCAGCTTTGAGACCTCAAAAGAACTAATGTCTCAGTTTGAGTCCAAGGTCAGTGTCTGTCTGTCTATGTACCTTTCTTTCTGTCTCAGGTCAAGCTGTCTTAGTTGGTGGAAGGTCAGTTTCTCTTCGATGTTCAGCTCTTCAGTTGATTAGATAGGGCTTGTCTGAATTAGGGAGGGCAGAAACAAAGACTGCTTTATCAGTCAGTCTACTGATTTAAATACTAATCACACTCTAAAACAGTCTAGTAGAGTCTGATTAGATAGATATCTTTAAAATGTCTAAATATCTAACAAAGCAATCATTTACCAGCTAAATTATGGCTGAACTCAGCTGCTATTGTGTGGAAATTATGTCTGATAATGGACATAAAGGTGTGTGTGTGTGTGTGTGTGTGTGTGTGTGTGTGTGTGTGTGTGTGTGTGTGTGTTACATGTGATAGTGCTCCTGGAAGCCAGAAGCTTCTGAGGCCATTTCGGATGTAGTGAACTGAACTCAGGTTCTCTGGAGAAGCAACACACATTCTTTATTGAGCTCTCTTTCCAACCCCTGTAAATAGATAGTTTAAATTGTAATATTGCAGCTCTCTTTTTATACTTTAAAGCTAGGCTTTTCAAAATAATATACTTTCAGTGACCTTTGAAGATTTCATAGGCCCTAGATTATGTCTGTAGTTGATAAATAGTCCTGACTTTCGATCGTGATCTGCTTTGATAGTGTGTGTGTGTGTGTGGGGGGGAGATGTCTTCAAAGTAAGAATGTTGAGGGCATATGAAGAGCTTAAAATAACCACAACAAAGATAGGTTACACACAGGCCCAGGATGAGGCACCTTGAAAAAAATTTGAGAAGGGCTTTCAGAGTTCATCGGAGACTGAGTGGATGTGCAAAGCCTTGTCCACTGAGCCTGTGGAGTGTGCTGAATTAGGAAGAGACACAGTATGGAGAAGAAGGTGTTTTAGTTAAAGTTTCATTGCTGTGAAGGGACACTGTGACCATAGCAACTCTTATAAAGGAAAACATTTAATTGGGGCTGGCTTACAGTTCAGAGGCTTGGTCCGTTGTTGTCATGCTGGGAAGCAGGCATGCAGACATGGTGCTGGAGAGGTAGCTGGGAGTTCTACATCCAGATTTGCAGGCAGCAGGAAGAGAGAGATGGCACTGGGCCTGGCTTGAGCTTCTGAAACCTCAGAGCCCACCCCGAGTGACACACTTCCTCTAACAAAGCCACACCCTCCTCCAACAAGGCCACACCTCCTAACAGTGCCACTCCCTATGGGCCTATGAGGGCCATTTTCATTCGAACCACCACAAAGTGGTGATGGAAGCTTAGGAAAAAGGCGTTAGTCCTGAG